CTGAAATCAAAATTTCTGGGGGGGCTCTTTAAGGAGGCCGACGGACGCGCCGACTTCTCTGTTGTGGACGATACAGAACTCCCTACGCGCGCGCGCGCGTTGGAGTTCGGTATTGTCCACAATGGAAAAGTCTACATGCGATCCCAAAAACTGAAATCAAAATTTCTGGGGCTCTTTAAGGAGGCCGACGGACGCGCCGACTTCTCTGTTGTGGACGATACAGAACTCCCTACGCGCGCACGGGTGACCATGGTCACCCGCGCGTGCGCGCGCGCGCGCGCGCGCGCGCGCGCGCGTTGGAGTTCGGTATTGTCCACAATGGAAAAGTCTACATGCGATCCCAAAAACTGAATTCAAAATTTCTGGGGTTCATTAAGGAGGCCGACGGACGCGCCGACTTCTCTGTTGTGGACGATACAGAACTCCCTACGCGCGCGCGCGCGTTGGAGTTCGGTATTGTCCACAATGGAAAAGTCCACATGCGATCCCAAAAACTGAATTCAAAATTTCTGGGGCTCTTTAAGGAGGCCGACGGACGTGCCGACTTCTCTGTTGTGAACGATACAGAACTCCCTACGCGCGCGCGGGTGACCATGGTCACCCGCGCGTGCGCGCGCGCGCGTTGGAGTTCGGTATTGTCCACAATGGAAAAGTCTACATGCGATCCCAAAAACTGAATTCAAAATTTCTGGGGTTCATTAAGGAGGCCGACGGACGCGCCGACTTCTCTGTTGTGGACGATACAGAACTCCCTACGCGCGCGCTGGTGACCATGGTCACCCGCGCGCGCGCGCGCGCGTTGGAGTTCAGTATTGTCCACAATGGAAAAGTCAACATGTGATTCCAAAAACTGAATTCAAAGTTTCTGGGGCTCTTTGAGGAGGCCGACGGACGCGCCGACTTCTCTGTTGTGGACGATGCAGAACTCCCTACGCGCGCGCGCGGGCGTTGGAGTTCGGTATTGTCCACAATGGAGAAGTCGACATGTGATGCCAAAAACTGAATTCAAAATTTCTGGGGCTCTTTATTGGAGGCCGACGGACGCGCCGACTTCTCTGTTGTGGACGATACAGAACTCCCTACGCGCGCGCGCGGGTGACCATGGTCACCCGCGCGCGGGGGTGACCCGCCCACTGCGCGGGTCACCCGAAATCCGCTCGGCCAATTAGGTTCACAACGGGAATCCATGGGTGCCGTGGATGTCAAGGCTTCTCAGTGGTTATCAAGGGCTGACAAGGCGCTGTCAATTGAGCCAAAATCAAGACGTTGAAACGTGTAACAAAAAATCAAGACATCACAGAACATTCATTACAAGAGGGGCGTCATGAAAAAAATACGACGCCAGGAGGTCTGGGATGCTGTGTGCCGCCACAAGATCATGTCGGTGCCCTGCAGCTGCTGCGCCCAGTGCTGTTCCTCCCCCTGTCCCGCCCTCCACTCGGCACCTGCCCCTCGATCTGAATCCGCCCCAAACCATCCGCAACCCAATTGAAATCGCCCAACACCAAGCTGAGGCGCCGCGAGCCCGGGGCGATGTGGGACGCCAGCACCCGGCGAATGCTGTGTCTGGAGGTCCTGGCTGTGATCGTGGCGTTTTCCTCGTCGAGTTCATCGGGGCCCGTGCCGAAATAAACGGCGAACAATGATAGATCACCCATGTCCCCATTGAGCCACAGCTCGCCGGCCCTCCCAGGCACCAGAACCCGCCAGTCAGCCCTGAGCGCAAAGCGCCGCAAGAACGCAGGTGTTACAATGATGCCGACTCCCGCCCTGGCAGCATAACCATGCGCCCAGAAAGCCGTAAACTCGCCGAAGTAAGCTTGACCACTGCGGGAGTGGAGCGCCTCAACCTCAGGGGTCGAATGCGTGCGTCTCCGTGACGATGACAGAGTCGTGGTCCCGCAGCAGGCGCCGAACATGGGCTGCTTTTTCACGGCGGCTTTGCGGGCAGGCCGCGAAGAGCCCCTGGGCATTGCAAGTCGCAATTCTGAAGTCGCCCGCATACGGTCCCAAGCCACTGCTCCCCCGAGAAGGGGCCAATCGAGGGGGCTGCAACGGCGGCGGCGGCGGCTGCGATGCTGCCAGACGCGGCGGCACGGCCGCCGGCGGCAGGGTCGGCGCTGCGTGGCGCGGAGCTTGCTCACCGAGGGTGGAAGCCACCCGCCTCACTCCAAAACGGATGAGGACAATATATAGAGATCACCAGCCTCGAATGGGCTCCGGTGCAGGCCGGCTGGGTCGCCTAGCACCGGCGGCCGTTTCCCGGCCGAGCTGCAAGCGGAGTGAGCTGGACCTCCAGGGAAACCAAATCGACCCCAAGCTGGAGGCCCCTGCCGTGGAGCCGCTCATGCAAATGGCGGGCTTCGGCAGGCGGGCGGACAGCCAGCTCCAACCGGCCAGTGAGGGCGCCCGCCACCGTGCCACGTTCGGGCCGAAGGGTGTAAGCTTCCAGAGCCTCATCTTGGTGTATGCGCCGCACCTGCTGGCCCAGCGCCCTGTGGATCATGTCGCCCGCCGCCTGCACGACGAGGTCGGGCCGGGGGCCAGGCGGGCCATGCAGCTGCAGCAGGAGGCGAGCCGACACCTCATCAGTGCGGGCCGCACGTTGCCGCTGGACGTTCGCCGTCCCGGGAGCAGAGACCCACAGCCCCCCCTCGTTGACAAGTCGTTTGTGTCGAAGGTGGTAAAGGCACCGCTGCGGGTCTGCGGCCTGCCAGTTCCTCATGTCCTCCTCCCACCTTGTCTCGTCCAAACTGGTGCGAGCCACGGCTGTCCTCGTGCTGAGCGGAAGCAGCTCCAAGCAATTGCCCCCCGCCACCGTGAAGGCTCCCGGACCCGTGGTGGACATGATAAGCGCTGTGTCGTCCATGAAAATGTCGCCGCGGGCAGCGACGCCCCCCATTGGCAGGAGCAGCTTATGAAGTTCACGTGCGAAGACGGCCGCGTCCAGGGCCGTGCAAGAGGCCTCGCCAGAGTATAAAGTGAGGCGCAGTCGGGGGTCCGACTTCTGCGAAGCAGGGCTTCGGCGGGGTTCCGATTGCCCCCAACCCATTGCCAGAACTGCAGCCGCCGCTTCGAGCGCCTGGGCTTCGGCACGCGACGGAAAATCAAGATTTATGGTGGCCTGCCCCACCGCGACCTGCTTCCAGGGCTCCTCCATCGTCAGCGTCGTCGGCAGCGTGAGCAGCGCCTCGTGCTGGAAGGTGAGCAGGCCCACCGGTCGCCACGATACCTGCGCAAACCGGCCGCCAGGGCTGACCTGCTCCAGCGGCTGTAGCATGAACTCCACCTTGGCCAATACTCCCGCCCAGCGCTCTCCCAAGCCTGGGTGCGCCCAATGCTGCAAGATCGCAGTAGGCGTGGAGCAGCCGGGTAACTCGTCGAGGGGGCACACGAGCTGCAGCGTAGTGCCGCGGTGGCCCAGCCCCAGATGGCGCACAAAGCCCCCAAGCAGGCGGCCGAAGTCTTCAGCAGCGGCAGGAGACCACAGGATCACTTCCTTGCCGGCCAGGCGTGTCCAGCAGGCGTCAGATGCGGAGGAGCACAGGGCAAGGCACATATCCGTTGCCTCTCCTGCCGAGAGCGCCGGCGTCAGCTGTGCCGCCGTCAGCCCGAGATGATTCGAGCACTGCGTGCCAATCACGCTGTCCGCCGCCCGGAGAGTGTGGAGGAAGGCGAGGCCCATGGTCCCCAGCTCCTGGCATAGCCGCCGCGGAGGGGCACGAAGACCACCACGCCCTCCCGTGCTCGCCAGCTCCCGCCTGATGCTGTCCGCAGCGGCCTCCAGACGGCCAGCGGCCGCGTCAGCCTGCTCGACGTCCCCCTCCGGCCACCGCTGGGCGTCGGCAAGGGTCAGCAACGTGCGAGCCAGTTCGAGTCGCCGTTGCAGCGCCGTCACCTGCTCCTTCCCGCTGCGTTATGGAACGACCCCCAAGGCCACCCAGGCGTCCGTGTGCGCAGTGTGGAAGCCAAGGTTGCGGAGCACGCCCTCCAAGCTCGTCCACGTGCTGAGTTGACTCCGAGGCGTGAGGTGTACCATCTCCTGGCCCGTCGCCACCACCGCGAAGTCGCTGCTCATGCAGTCCTCAACGTAAGAGGCGAACAGATGGTCCGAGACCCCGATGTGCTGAGGCTGCGGCGGGGCAGGCAGTCCCGGAGGAGTCTCCGTCAACGAGGTGTCCGCCAACCGCTGAGATAAAGTAGTGTCCTGCATGATGTCGCCCTGCATGCCGTCGTCCTCTGCAGGGATGCCGCCCACCGCCTGGGTGGAGGCCGGCGCGGCAGCCACCACAGCGGCAGCAGCAGCCATCGGTCGCCGGGGCGAAACGGGGGTGACGCGCGGAATGGTCGTAAGAGGGAAAAGCTGGGATGGTGAGGAAAAGTAAGAGACGGCACCCCACCCCTGGCAGGGCTCCTGTTCGGGGGCCTTCGAGCGGCCTGAGCCAGTGCGGCCTGAGCCAGTGCGGCCTGAGCCAGTGCGGCCATGTTTTGATGTTCCCCCCGGGAAATGGGACAACAAAAATACACCACACCACCCCGTCGTCGTCCCCGACCCTCAAAAAGTTCTGGGATTGAAAAACAGCCCGCCACTGGTAATGTATATGCTCCAGCTTCCGATATAAGAGTACGACGACGCCAAGACCGGGGCAAGATCGGACCGGGACACCTCGGGGAGAGCGCAGCGCTCCGGAACGCTCTGGAACGGTTTATCCGGATCCCGGCCCCACCTGATTGAGGCCCTGCCCTCAGATCCCATGTAGCACAACACTATTTTGGCGAAGGACCCAATCATATGCAATTTGAGTGCCGCGTTGGGGGCGCCGCTTTCGGTGGAGCTGCCTATGGGGCCACGAACCATGTGGGGTGTGTACCCACATCGGCAGGGAACCGCATGTGGATCCTGCCACTGCGGCCTTCGGTTGAGCCGCCTATGGGGCCGCGCAACGTGTGAAGGGTGTGCCAAAATGGGCGGGGAACCGCATGCAAACTTTACCATAGGTGGCGCTCCCTACGGGGCCGCGCAACGTGTGATGTGTGATGAGTGTGCCGACATGAGCTGGGAACCGAGAGGAAACTCTGCCACTGGGACCTTCGGTGGGGCTCACTATGGGGCCGCGTGACGTGTGAGGGGTGTGCCGACATGAGCGGGGAACCGCATCGTAACTTTGCCACTGGGACCTTAGGTGGAGCTCCCATGGGGCCACGAAATGTGTGAGCGGTGTGCTGATATGGGCGGGGAACCGCACGTGGACTTTGCTTCTGGGACCCTCGGTGGAGCTTCCCGTGAAACGTGTGAGGGATGTGTCCGCACGGGCGGAGAACCGCACGTGGACCCTGCCGCTGAGGCCTTCGATGGAGCAGCCTATGGGGCCACGGAGCGTGTGCGAGGTGTGTCGAAAGTGGCGGGGGACCACATGTGGGCCCTGCCGCTGGGGCCGCCGGCGGAGCCCCCTGTGGGGCGGCGTAACGTGTGCAAGGTGTGTCCACACGGGCGGGGGACCGCCTGTGGACCCTGCCACTGGGGCCTTCGATGGAGCTTCCATAGCCGCGAAACGTGTGGGGGGTGTGCCTCATCCCTCCACCCCTTCCCCTCCCCCCGTCGTCCTCTCCTCCTCGTTCCCGTCCTCCTCCTCCACCTCATTCTCCTCCTCGCCCTCCCCTCTTCCTCCTTTTCCCCTCCCTGATCCTATACCCCCCCCCCCCCGCATTTGTCCCCACTTCCCCCACGCAGACCCGCGGTGCCTCCGCAACGTCTCGCGCACACTTCCTGAAGTCGACGGTCTTCAACGCCCCTGGACGGGGCCGGGGGCGACAAGGACCGAGCAGGGAACGCGCAGCCCGGCGAGGAGAGGGGGGCGGGAGGTTTTCCATGGGGGGCAGGAAGATGAGGGGGAGGAGGGGAGGGGCGGGACGGTGGAGGGAGGGAGGACAATATGAGGGAAGGGATGAGGGGGTGGGGAAGAGGGAGGGAACGGGAAGGGGGGGGGAGGTGGAGGGACAGGGAGGAAAAGGAGGAGGAGGAGGAGGAGGAGGAGGAGGAGGAGGAGGAGGAGCAGGAGCAAGAGGAGGAGGAAAAGGAGGATGAGGAGGACGAGTGGTGGAGGAGGACACGAACGAGGACGAAGAAACCGCTCGTATCCACAACTGCGAGGGGTACGTCTGGGGCAAACCGTGCAGATGCGACGTCGACCTAGACTGTCGACGTGATGCTCGTCAGCTGCGCGTGTATTGCAACACGTGCCTGCTTCCAATTGATGTTTCTGAATGCTAGTAACGGGAACGAGGTGCAGCTCGGATAAAGAAACATACAAACGTCCCAACTACAAGGAAGTGGTGTCCACCATGCAATGCTTGTCCGGATACGAGGGGAAAAAGACAGCAAAACAGGTAATACGTACACAACGAAGAAAAACGAAGGATGCCAGCGCGTACATGTATCCAGAGACCACATGATCACCGCAGACATGCACGCAAAACAAAACACCCTTGCCGACACGCCGACGGCGTGTCTGACGCGCACGGGTTGGAACTGATTCGTTTCGTTGAAACAGATAGTGGCTGACTGGAACTACGGATCAAAATCGCCAGCCGCCCGTGATGGACCGCAGACTGTCCCGAGGAGGAACAAGCGCACTCACCTCCGATCGCAACAACGCCGTCTCCAGCCACCCATGTCCCGCAGGGGCGCTTCCACACTCCACGGGGACGGTGCGGCAGAGCAGGAAATACTATGACGGTGGAACTGAAGACGAGGAAGAGATGGATCGGGAGGGAAAGGAGGGAGAAGAAGTGGAGGAGGAGGAGGAGAAGGAGCAACAAAAAACAAACAGCCAGGATCACACCTGTACAACGGCCAGGAGCTTGTCGAGGTGAGCCGCAGCGGCCCATTGTGCTCGGGCCCCGCGAGGAGCTGGAGGTCACATGCGCCCGCGACTGCCACGTCCAGCCCCCTTGGCCTCGAGTGAACTGGCGTGAATCCGAGAGAATACGTTATGAGGACCCCAAGGAACGACTGTACTTCAGCGGTGGGAGCCCTTCAAGCGGAATGCTGGAACTTGACTGTGATCTTCAAACGTGCAAGGTCGCCAGGCTGCACGACGAACAGATGTACATCTGTCCTGAAGGTTGCGTGCTGTGATGGCGACGGCGCTCCCCCAGGAGCTACGTAGGGGGCGCGAGGTAAGGAGGGCACAAAGCCCTGGGGTAGCGCGAGAATGTGTGCCGGGCGCCTGCTGGCGTCTGTCTGTGACCGGCCAGGCGCTTCCGCGTCGGGGATGGCACTGTTCAAGGCTGGGCCGTCCTCTTAGCCGCAAGCGCTCGGCCACACGCTTCGGCTCTCGGCGTATTGAAGGAAACCACGCGCGAATTCTGCAATCGCTATCGGGGCCAGCACAATTCTGGATGAGGCATCTCGTTCACGCGGCGCCACTCTCAGACACCTTCTGCCGCTGCAGCCTCAGGCGCCTTGCTCAGAGGCTGGAATGCTGGATACAGTCCTTGCCAGTGGCGATCCTCGCCACTAGGATGCGCATGACCGAGAACATCGCTCGTTCCAGATCTCGTCGCTGCAACCGCCGCCGAAGGGGTCGGTGAGCGCCCAGAGACCGACAGAGTGCCCTCGAAACCGGGCGCTGGCTTCACGAAATGCTGGAACGTAGTCTCGAAGGCTGCCATCCTGGCCACGTGCCCGTGCTTCAGCTCGGAGCTGCTGCGCTCGTGAAGGCCCTCGTGGTCGACGGCCTGGCAGAACACGAGCTGGTCGAAGCAGCCTGGGGGCGGCTCCTCGCAAACGGACTCGGCAAGGGTCGAACGGCGGATCCACGGCCTCCTCCGCGGCGGCAGCAGGCCCTCATGCCCGTCATGTCCATGCCGATGAATCCAAGTCTCTTGAGCCAGGGCACCGCTTGAGCCGTGGGCTTGAGCCATGTCTTCCTCAGTAAGCGCGCGGTTGCCCTAGAAGGAAAAGGTGTGTTCAGCCGACGTCCGATCATGAAAGAGCCAGCCTCGTGTAGATGAATCTGCAGGGAATTTCTGGCAGAAGCTGCACGACCATCGAGTGCAATACAACCATGGACGGGCGACATCCATGGTCTCCTCAGGCCCACTCAAAACATGTGCCCGAGAATCAAATCCAGCCCTAAAAGTACGGACGCTTGGACGCCCCCTGCATCGTATATCTGAAGGGGCCCCGGGACACACAAGTAAATACACACATAGAGATATTCTCCATATTTTCCCACATTTTCTGGGTGTTCTGTCCTCTCCCCCACTTCCCACATTGCCCCATACGTTCCTGGGGATCGACGATTCATGGTGTCTGTGTGTGTGTGTTTGCCCCCTCCTGAACATCGACCGAGGACGCGCGCCGCTCCCGCGATGACCAGCGATGGTGATCATGCGATGCACTGGATTCGTCATGCCCCCAGGATGAATAGACAATCTCAGGGGAACGACAAATCAGTACGGCAGGTTCGTGTCGTGCCGACCCCAGCGTTGGTTTCTGACACCGCGGGGATCGTTCAACCTTGAACGATCGGCCGCTGCCGCAACGTCCGATCGTTCAACATCGATCGATTCTGGGTCGCTGGCGGCGTTCAACCTGGAACGCCCGCGCTGGGGTCGCCGCTGGTCGACACGACGCAAACCTACCGTAGACAATCTCAGGGGAACGACAAATCAGCACATCGAGCATTACGAAGGTAGTGCAGGGAATGCAGACTCCTGCTGAGTTGCCCTGAGATTGTCTATTCGTCTTGTTTTGACGCTCATTTGAGGGGGGCGGTAGCGGGAGACTGGCTCAGGGGAAAAACTGTCGGCCTGGAACCAGCGATGCATCGCCGATGTGCCTGCGATCAACTGACGACAACGAGACCACACGCTCCTGGGTGAGGACCTAACCCCCTAATTTTGAGCAGGGGGGGACCGTCCTAGCATTCCTGCAGGCCTACCACGATGTGTTCTTGAAACAGTAGATGTTTTGATGACAAGAGCAATGCTCACATGACATGTGACCAACGAATCAAGCCAGTACTGTCTCGACCAGAAACGTCATGACCAAATGTTGCCCAACACGCAAGCGGCTGATGGTAGGCCTATAAGCGGGAAGTGGCGCTTCGTCACTGCTTGGATGTTGTTGCCCCTGATCACCAGGCCTCTTCATTACGGTTACTACCTACGCCATCGACATTCGGCGGTGGACAAACCTCCCTTTAATAATAAACCTCCCCTTAGTGAAAAATGGCCTGGGACCGAATTCGACGGAGCTGGACCCGCAACAATGACGGCCGCGACGCCCTCTCGCGAGCCGAAAACGGCCGATTCCTGAATCGACGTGTCAGGGTAGGAGGTCTATCCACCTCCGACCTCTTCATTACGACTACCACCTACGCCATCGACATCCTCTCCCTCGCCACCGAAGCCAGGCTCGACGGCCGGGCCCCCGCGGGGCATCACCTCGCATCAAACACTATGCCGCCACGAGCCGACCGCAGCCGCCCGCCCCCATCACCCACGGCACGGCCGCCCCCGCCACTCGCGCCCTCCTCGAGGGCACGGCCTCCCCTCCTCCTCCTCCTCCTCCTCCTCCTCCTCCTCCTCCTCCTCCTCCTCCTCCTCCTCCTCCTCCTCCTCCTCCTCCTCCTCCCCCCTCGCCCCACACCCGACCAAAAAATCGGTGCCCGGACCCAATTCCCTGGGGGCCCATTCGGGGTCGAGGAAAAGCGAGGGGCCGTCACGACCGCCGCCGTCCCTGTCGCCGCCGCCGTCGACGCGCGCAGCCTCGCGGGCGCGCGCGTGGCCGTAGAGTCCCAGAGCCGTCATCGCAGTCACCGCTGCCCCCGTCGCCGCACGGCCCTCCTACCTTCGCCGCCCCCGGTGAGAAGCGCGGGCGCGCGCCGTAGATGGCGGTGGACACCATCTGCACCACTGCCAGCGTGTTGGGCCGAATGTGCAGGGTACCCAGCAGGTGCTGGCGGCGCAGGGGCGAAGTCGGGCGGCAGCGGCATCGGCCGAGGCGGTCCCGCATCGACCGCGGCAGAGACTTCCCCTACCTCTGTCTATGTCTCTGTCTCTGTCTCTCTCCCTCTCTCTCCCTCTCTCTCCCTCTCTCTATCTTTCTCCCTCCCTCCCTTCCTCCCGTCCATCCTCCTCGTCCTCCTCTGGGGTAGGGAGTGGGGGATGTGAAGGAATGACGGGGGCAGAGGCAAGTGGAGCAAGAGAGGGAGCGAAGGGGAGGGCGATATGGATGGTGGACGAGAGGGCGATATGAAGGATGAGGTTGAGAAGGTGGACGACGACGACGAGGACATGGACGAAGTGAAGGCTTGGTGGGTCCCCAAATCGGTACACCGTCTCCAGCTGTTCCAACGCTGGTCGTACCAAGGGGGGACGGAGCCACGCGGACCCTTGCAGGCCAGGCTCTCGGAGGGACTCACAAGCAGGCAGAACATGAAGACAAGCGCAGCGGCTCGGCTCGAGGCCCGAACCCCGACACCAACTCTAGATCCCCACTCCGGACCGCGACGGAGGAGAAAAGCCGCGTGCAGGAGGAACAGAACGAAGAGGAGGAGGGGGACGAGGCAGAGGGAGAGAGCGACGACGATGAGGAGGATGAGGAGGACGAGGAGCGCGAGGAGAGCGGCGGCAAGTGAAGGGGGCGGAAGGGAACACGTTCACAGTCCTTCCGCGCTCGGTCCATGTCGGACCCGGTGGGGCGCGACGAGCCACGAGAAGGAGGTGATGGGCCTGTTTCCCACCACCAACACCAAAAGTTGGAGGGGGAGGAGGAGGAGGAGGAGGAGGAGGAGGAGGAGGAGGAGCAGGAGGAGGAGAAAGGAGGAGGAGGAGGAGCAGGAGGAGGAGGAGAGGAGGGGGAGGAGGGAGGAGGAGGAGGAGGAGGAGGAGGAGGAGGAGGAGGAGGAGGCGGAGGAGGAGGAGGAGGAGGGCGGAGGAGGAGGACGAGAGGAGGAGGAGGAGGAGGCAGAGGAGGAGGAGGAGGAGGCAGAGGAGGAGACGGAGGAAGAAGAGGAGGATGAGGAGGAGGAGGAGGCGGAGGAGGAGGAAGGCGGAGGAGGAGGAGGAGGAGGAGGAGGAGGAGGAGGAGGAGGAGGAGGAGGAGGAGGGGGAAGAGGAGGAGGAGGAAAAGGAGGAGTATGAGGAGGAGTAGGAAAAGGAGGCGGAGGAGGAGGAGGAGGAGGAGAATAAGGAAGAGGAGGAGGAGGAGGCTTCGACGGCACCCCTCCAGCCTCCTGGCCCTCGCAGTTTGAGTCGGTGCCTGGCCGTGCCTGTGGGTTGGTCACTGGCTCTCTGGTCAGGGGCTGCCACCAGCGCCGAGGGCCTGACGTGTCCATGGCCTTCAGGTTCCCCTGCAGTTGGGGCCCAACCACGAGAAACGGTCCACAAGAAGCCCAACCCTGAGACCCCAGGGCGTCCATTGAATTTTGATGTGGGAACGTCACGTTTTTCTTGGCGAAACCATCGAAATCCAAGAAACCAAGGGCACCCTGGAGGCAAGCAGGGTGTTCCTTGGCATGGGCTTCCAGTGTAACCCCCGCAGGAGTGCAGGGATGGGCAGGGAGTTGAGGAACAGGATAAAAACCCAGACCGCCGTGCCTGGCGTCTGTCAGCTAGATGACGAGCATTGGGTACCTACGACTGCTGCTTCTCATTATCCTCCTGCCGCTCCTCCTCCTCGTCATCCTCCTGTAGTATCCGGCTTCTTCCTCCTCCTGCTTCCTAGCTCACTCCACCTTTTCCTGCGTCCTATCTCATCCTCCCGCCACATTTCTCCTGCTCGTCCTACTCTCTGCTCCCTCAGATTGCATAATCCTCATTCCTTTACATTGTTCTACATCATCCTCCTCCTCCTCCTCCTCCTGCTTCTGCTCCTCCTCCTTCTCCTCCTCCTCCTCTGCCTCTTCATATCCGTCTCTTTGTCCTTCTGCATCCTTATTATTGTTCTAGGGAGGGCAAAGCAACCACGCTCAGAATGAGCACCCCTACAGAAGAAGCCATTCGGTAAGCACGGTAAAAAAGGAATTGAGACAGACTGTTCGGAAAACGCCTGGGACTGTCTAGTAAACGCCAATCATAAGGTCGGGGAGTTTCGTCTTCTTCAATCCTCATCCAGGGGCAACCTCCATGCATAATCACGAAAGCATAGCATCCTTGGACAACCAACTCGTCCTCCTCACTGCAGCCGGCGGCTGCGCTCACGCGATGAGCCCCCGAGAGCGCCACAAGCACGGCCGGGGCATGGCGCTGCGAGGGCCTTGTTCAGCAGGAGGGTGCTGAACGAGGTGAGGTACCACGCCGCGACGAAGAATCCTCCCCATGCCACCCTTGGCCAATCAGGCAAGAACCAATGCCACCCGTCTGGCGGAAAGAGGAGGGAAGCTTGCACATAATCTCCGCCACCAGCGCTATTTTGGAGAAAGGAGGGGGGCGGAGACGACCGCGAAGTAACGAGATGGAACATGCGCTCCACGGCGCATGCACTCCATGGCGACGCCGCCCTCCTGCTGAGAACGCTCGCGTATTGCGCCCTCTCGCAGCCCACGTGAACTTGTGAGCGTTTTCGTATTCGGCATTTCAGGATTGGGCGGAGGGGGCGGGGCGGGGGCTCTGGCTCCAGAGCTCTGCCTAATGCGACTTTCTGTCGCAGTGCGTCCTATGGGGGGAGACTGGAGACTCCAACTGCACGAAGCAGTCGCCAAAAAACAGCCAAGATCCACTCGAAGGTTATGTTGTTCCCATCTTACTCCATCTTACTTAGAGACCACATCCCAGAAACAATTTCGAGCACCCGGAGAAGTGTCAAACGAGTGTCGAAACAGTGTGGGGCGAGCGTCTCCCAGGGCCCGACACGTGAAAACCCTTGCTTGAGTGTCGGTACTTGTTTGGGCGATCGAAATTCTTCCTGCTGATCAACGCTAAAGTAGGTCGGAGTATCATAACTCGAGGGGGAGGCGGGGGTGCAAGGGCCCGCGCCGCTCGGCAGAACGATGTATAAGAAGACGATCACCTCATGTGCGCCTGCGTCCATGCCTGAAGCGGCCCTGGGACACACAAATAGATAGTCACAAATGACCGGATTCTCCATGTTTCCCCATACTTTCTGGGTTTCCGTCTTCCCCCCCACGTCCCAAATGTTCCCAACAGTTTCCTGGGGAATCGGCGATGGACGTTTCGCCCCCGCGGACGACGAGGCATCGGCGGTGGGAAGGGCGCGCCCAGCGAGCCTGCGGGCCCCGACGAGCCCCACCGGCCCCGGGGCGCTGCTCGCGCGCAGGGCAGGGGCGGGAGGAGCCCAGCGATCGCATCGGAGCGTACAGCCGGGCTGCCGAGAGAAGGAGCGATCAACAGGGAACGAAGCCCCCTTCTGTGAAGGGGCCCCAGGACACACACATAAATACACACAAATAAAAATGTGCCCCATATTTTCCCATATCTACTGGGTTTCTGTCTTCCCCCCCACTTCCCATATTTTCCTATATTTTCTGGGGAATCGACGATTAGTTGTCTGTGTGTTTCTTTCCATCCTGATTCTGGCCCCACAAGCGCCTGCGCGCACGAGGAAGGCTCGAGGAAACGCCATAGGAGGACCCCAGGAAGATCGCGCCCCCTTCTTACCAAAGCTGTTCCTTGCTTCGGCGACTTGGGAGGCAGCTACTGGGAGGTCTTCGCCGGAGGGATTGAGGAGGATTGAGCCCCATTGGGGGGCTCTTACGCCGGAGTGGGCCTCGGATAGAGCAGGATGAGGCCAGCTTGAGCAGGATGAAGCGGGATCACGCCAGACTCAGCGGGATGGAGCCGGATTTCAGACCAGGGGGGCAAAATCAGAATTTGACCTCCCAAACAATTGCATCCGAAGATACGTAGGTCGGATCGGCGATCGACCCTCCTCCCCCTCCTACTCCTCCTCCTCGTCCTCCTCCACCTCCTCCTCTTTCTCCTCCTCCTCCTCCTCCTCCTCCTCCTCCCCCTCCTCCTCCTCCTCCTCCTCCTCCTCCTCCTCTTCCTCCGCCTCCGCCTCCTCCTCCTCCTCCTCCTCCTCCCCCTCCTCCTCCTATGAATCGGATCGGCGGACATCCGCAGCCGAGCCGGGAAGATTCGTATGGAGATCGGCAGGCCGGTGCGCGTCCACTGAGAGAGCGGAGCCCAGGCCGGGAGTCCCAGGTCGAGTCGGGCCGGGATCGGAACCCATCGACATCGACGCGGGGGAACCTGAAGGGGCCCAGGGACACACAAATGAACACACACACACACAAATCCCAGGATGAACCCGTATTTTCCCACACTTTCTGGGTTTTCATCTCCCACCCCCACTTCCTATATTTTCCCATCTGTTCCTGGGAGTCGACGATGAATTGTGTCTGTGTGTTTCCTTCCCTCCTGAGGATCGAAACGAGCCCTGCAGGGGAGAGGAGGAGGAGGAGGAGGAGGAGGAGGAGGAGGAGGAGGAGGAGGAGGAGGAGGAAGAGGAGGAGGTGGAGGAGGACGAGTAGGAGTAGGGGGGGAGGGGGAGGAGGAGGAGGAGGAGGAGGAGGAGAGGAGGAGGAGGAGGAGGAGGAGGAGGAGGAGGAGGAGGAGGAGGGGGAGGGGGAGGAGGAGGAGAGGAGGAGAGGGGAGGAGGAGGAGAAGGAGGTGGAGGAGGAGGATGATGATGATGTGATGATGATGATGATGATGATGGAGGAGGAGGAGGAGGAGGAGGAGGAGGAGGAGGAGGGAGGAGGAGGAGGAGGGGAGGAGTCGCGAGCCCATGGAGCGACGCGCCGAGTCGGATTCGGGACGGAACAGGGGGCAGGAAAAGGTGAGAAACGCGCAATCGAGCACATAGCGATTTCGGGCCCCAGGGCGCATTGGCCCAGCCGAAGCATCACGGCCGCGACGAGAGGTCCCGAGGGAAAACGCCCAGGATCGGGGGCCAGGGACCGAAACGACCGAGGACGGATCAAAGCTAAACGAGTTAGCAGAAACACTATATGGAAAGCAGGCCGAGCCACTGGACCGCCGAGTCCGTGACCTCGAGCCTGCGGGGGATCGGAATGGGTGGGGCCTTCCCCCCCTTTGGGTGGGTGCCCTTCATAGAATTGTCCCGTCTCCACTTTCGCTGGGGATTATCTTTAAGGGCAGCCTCAGGGTCACACTCCCAAAACAATTGCGTGCGCGCCGTTCTGGCCGAAAACGCCCCACACTTGCTGCACCCCACCAGGTCCCCAGACAGATACAGGACATGGCCCCGAGCGCTCGCGGGAGGGACCTCCCCCGAGCGCGGCAACGGGGCCCTGGGCACCACCGCGCCCGCTCTGGACGGCGGCGTGCCCTTCCACGCTCGCTTCACGCCGCGCGAAGTCGCCGCACCCACCGCGCCCCTTAAGGCCTCCTGGGGCCGCTCAGGTCCCTCCAGGACCTCCGCGAACCTGACCCTCGGACGAGGCGCGACGGGGGTCGGCGGCGGCGGCGAGGAAGGGGGAGGCGAGGCGAGGTGAGGCGAGGGAGGTCGAAGCGAGGGAGGAGGAGAAAGGTGGGCCTCTGGAGTCCCAGCAAGCCCTTGGGAAGCGTCCTCGACCGATCCAGAACGGCGCTCACGCTCGAGCGATGTGAGGGCCGAGGGGGAAGGAGGCTCCACGAGAGGAGGGGGAGGAGGAGGCGGGGGGGAGGTGACCCGAGGTCTAACATCCCTGTGAGACGATGACGCCCCGCCCTCCAGACGTCGACGTCCTCCTCCTCTGGCTGGGCAAACCTCCCTCCCGAGCCTCTCGAGCCCCCTACGCGATCTGGCAAAGCGAGGGCAGTGCTGGCATCGCCAGCCGCGGCCTGCCACTACTACCTGGTGTCTTTTACTCTGCTCGCGGCCGCAGAGGCCGTCTGGTCCAGCCGACTGCGCCCGAGCTGGCTGCACGCGCCCGCCGCGGCGAGCCTTCCTGCCCACGGTGGCGGCCCTGTCGAGCTGGTCGCCGTCGCCGATGTCCACCTGGCAGTTGCCTATCCAGGCAGCGACCTGCCTGACCGCCTTGAGCAGCCGCTTGTGCGCCTCGTAGGCGTCCTCGGGGAAACCGTGGAGCGCCGTGCCCTTTTTGGCGGCCACGTCCGCGAAGTCATTCCCAACCTTGTCGATGCTGTCGCCTGCCTCCAGGGACGACTGATGGCCCTCGACCCACGTGATCTGCAGGTCTTCGCTGAGCCCGCCCAAATCCTCGATCGCATGCCAGAGCTGCCGCCACAAATCTGCAGTGTCCCTCCTCACGTGCGTGCGATGTTCCTTGCCGAACACCAACGGCTCCACGAGGCCCAGGCAGTCGGTCTTGATGTGCAGCGGGAAGCGACCGTGCTTGAGCACCTGGAGCACGGCATAGATCTCGCCCCGCTGGGCTGTCTGCCGGGGCCCTGGCAAGGGGCCGAAGGCCATGCCACGGAGGCGCCTGCCTGCTAAGATGGCAATGCCCCATCCTGCACGGCTCGCCTCAGGCCAGTATAATGGCGACGTGGCCGATCCGTCAGTGACCACTGCCCCTGTGATGTCCATGGCCTGGCCCCCCATGCAGTGCCACCACCTCTGCGTGTCCAAGGGTGGCGGAATATCTGAGAGTACTGCCCGAGGAAGCAGCGCCCTGGTGTAGAAGGGGTCATTCGGGAAGCCTCACTGGCCATGTCCACTATCAAATCATCCATGGCAGCTGCCCTCGTATCTGCACAACGGGGGCACTTCCAAAATCTGTGGTGTAAATCTCCAACAACGTCTCCGCAATACTGGCACATCTGAGAGTCCGCGTAGCCCATGGTGTAGAGGCGCTGTTGTGGCCATTGCGCTCCAATGATGGTGGACCTGAGGGCGCCTCTGGCCTTGGGCTGCAAGTTCCAAGTAGTCGCCTCAGGAGGTGCGTGCATCATGGCTGCGATCGGCTCGATCCAGTAACCTCGCGGGTCGCGTGGGGCAGGTGGGTGTTCTGCTGCATGTTCCACTTTGGATGCCCACTCCTCCCACTTCACCGATCTGTAGCTGCGTCTCGCCATCGTGCGCACCCACTTGGGTGCAACCTCGTTCAGCTTCAGCGTGGTGCCGTTGCCCGTCTCCCAATGCGTGGCTGAATGCGCCCTCCAGCCCAGACGCCTCAGGTTGAGGGTGACGGCGCCTGCAGGTCCCGCGATGGAGCTCCATGGGGCCGATGCCGATGCCAAGGCTGCCGACTGAATCTTCCAGGCGCGCTCGATCGTGTCCATGGGGATCTTCTGGTCGAACACCATCTGCGCCCATGTGAAGATGGGCTCCACGGTCGCCATCGCATCAGGCATCTGGTTGGGACCTTCTTCCAAGAGTGATGCAAACCATGTGGATGAAGCCGCGGGCGTCTTGCTCCAGCCTGTGCGGACCACGTTCATCATCGCGGCTACCGTGGCTGGCGGGGCCCCCACCACATGGAGGCCGTAGGTCATGCCAGGCGCCAAGCATGGCCGAGCGATCCGCTTGGCCAACTTCGCCATGCCCTTGAGCTTCCTG